CCAGGAACTTTCCTCATTCCCGTGGCTTTCATCAACTTCCTTACCGCGGCCACCTCTTCCCACTTCTTTCCAGAAGCAAAAAAGTTTGAGACAAGCATGTAAATGCCAAGACTCTTTGGTTTCAACTCTAGCACCTTCTTTGCTGCCATTTCCCCAATCGAGAATTTCTTGTGAGTGTGGCAGCCAGAGAGTAGGGCGACCCAAACAGCTATACCGGGTTCATCTTCCATGGAACCAATCAAATTTTGGGCTTCATCCACTAGTCCAGCCCGAGCTAATAAATCAACCAAACAAGCATAATGCTTCTCAGTAGGACGAATCTTGTACTTCTTGACCATTGAGTCAAACCAAAACCGCCCTTCGTCCACTAATCCCGAATGACTCAAAGCAGACAAAAGGGAAGCGAAGGTTGCATCGTCGGGCTCCACATTGTCTTTCATCATACAGAAAATGGATAGGGCTTCTCTTCCGAGACCGTGGATCCCGTAGCCCGTTATGATAGTGTTCCAACATATCACGTCCTTATTAACATTTATACCATCATAAACACTACGTGCCCACGTGATCAGTCCACATTTTGCATACATGTCAATCAAAGCGGTCCCTAGGATTTTATCCGCCTCAGACCTTCTCACGACATAAGCATGGATCGATTTACCCTTCTTCAAGAACCCTACGTGGGAACACGCCAGAAGTGAGCTAACTAGTGATGTCATGTCGGGTGAGAAGCCCACATCTTGCATTTCTATGAAGAGTTGGAGCGCATCTTCAGCAAGTCCATTTTGAGCATACCCTGAGATTAAAGTACTCCAAGAAACAGAGCTCCTGCAAGGCAGTTTTTCAAACACGCAGGTAGCCATCTCTAGATCTCCATTCTTGGCATACATGTCCAATAGGCAAGTCTGCACTAGCACATTTATATGAAGATTTTTCCTGATCATATAACCATGGATAGAACAACCCTGGTTAATATCACCGATATTCGCACAAGCACGAATCAGACCCAACATCACAACCTCGTCTCCTTCCCAACCATCCTCCCTCATCCTCTGGTAGACTTCAAGAGCTTGTCTTTCCCTCCCATTCTGTGTAAGGGCAGTGATCATTGTCGTCCAACAAACGATGTCTTTCCTTTCCATCTTCTCAAAGACTATGTATGCTGCGTCTATCTTACCACATTTTGAGTAAAAGTTTAAAACGGATGACGCCACAAAAACGTCATTCTCGTATCCGGACTCGCAGGCTTCCCTAAATACCTTTTCGCCAAGCTCCAAGTCCGACAGCACCGCGCATGCCTTAAGCGCGGCCGTGAAAGTTGAGCTGTCGGGGTTTGAACCGCAAGAGATCATCTCTTTGTACAGAGTTAAGGCATCGTGAGGTAACCCCTTCCGGGAATAGGAGATAATCATTGCGTTCCAAGCACCGACGCCTCTGTTGGGCATTTCATCGAACACTTTCCGGGCGAGGTCAATGTGGCCGGCTTCAGAGTATGATGAGATCAACTGGGGATTTAAAATACCGTGGGCTGAAAGCCCGGAGGATATGAGATGTTTGTGGATTTTGGAAATGGATAATTTATCTTTACATGTCAACAAAAGCGACTTGAGGTGTTTTGTTGAATGCATTAATAGATAATATAATTCTATCACTAATTAATAATCTATTAATTGAAGAGTTTTTATGATCAACGATCTGTTGTAATTTTCACAACGCTCCCCCCGAGAGAAATGTCATTTTTCTATAACTGATAAGCAACCCAAAAGCCTTCAATTGCTGTTAGAACTGAGAAAGTTAGGGATGGCTCATAAAGCTGGGGAAAGGCACTATTATACTAGTATTACTTTTACTCTTCTTTTAACTAATTCAACTACAATATTTTTATATGTAGACAAAAATATGGTATCTTATATGTACAGTAAAATCTATCTTTTCACAAATATTACTGAAATGATGCATATCTATAAAAATATGACTAATAGTTACTACCTCCGTCCCATGTAATATTTTACTTTACATATTCAACTTTTATCATGTTTGAGTTTTTTGTGACTTTATAAGACTTTTAATGTAGTTTTCGAATATGTAAATTTTATTTACTAAAAATAATCTTTTTCAAGTGTCAGTTAACTTTATAATCAGTTTAACATCATAAATCGCATGAGAACCCTTCCCTAGGATAAAGGAGTTAAAGAAGGGTTGGTCAGTACATTGGAAGCTTACCACTCCTAGTGGGTAGAACATGGGTTGTGGAGTATTTTTTCTATGATATAGGTGTCGGTGTTTGCGCTCCCCTAATCCTGAAGTCCATAGACAGTTAAATCCAGATCTGATCACAGTCAATCTCGTCAGTACAGGCTCTAAAGGACGAATCCAACAAAACTTGCATCACCTTTCAGGCTGCTCCTCCCACCACACGAACCCGCTATCTTCATTATCATCCTCTCCCTTCTTAACCGTTGAGCAACTCTGGAAAGGTAGGAAGAGTCATTGAGAGCAAGACCCCTCTCATCTCCCCTAAATATGCCCAGCGGGATTCGAACCCGATACCTCCACTAGATACGGTAACCTCCCATGCAGCGAGCTGGAATGCTTGATTGTTGTGGAGTATTTTAATAAGATGTAAGGAAGGGAAAAAGTTAATAAAAATTGTATGATAGGTGGTGAAAGTTATAAATATGGGTGGGAAGGCTAATAAAGTTTAGCTGGTTTTCTATTATGGTTGGCTGGGCTCGGCTAGCGGGTCGGATTTATTCCGGGTGAAGGCTCATCCACATCCACCCATTAATTTTTCATAATCCACTCACCCGTCCATCATCCATTAAAAACTGCATCCACATCCAACCCATCGATCATGAACGGGTTATCGAGTGGATCAGGTGAGTAACGGGTGAATATATATGGTCTAACTTGAAAAACAAAATAAACAAATTATTATAAAGATAAATCATGACAATTAAAAACCAAAAATTAACAATTCATTGAATAATAACAACAACAAACTTGAACAATTAAGTATATTACAATCAATAATTCACGCCAATAATGAAAGAACCGATTGTCAAACAAAATAAACATAAAACTTCTTCAAGCTTTCAAATTCTATATTTCTGCATCGGCACAAAACTATATTTGTAGTTCAACTGCCATTTCTTGAAACTCTCAATTGTCTTTATTTCACCAATTCATAGATATGTGTCTTTTCCATTAACAAATACATATATATTAATACTAATTATTATATATACATGTATATGCGAGTTAACGGGTGGGTGGATGAAGCGGGTGACGGGTCGGGTGACGGGTTGGATGAGTGTTCATCCACATCCGATCCAACCTGTCTTTCAATCCACCCGTCATCCATTTTTCATCCATACTTTTTCGGGTTTTCGTCCATATTTTCAGTTCGGGTTGATCGGGTATCCACGGGTGTGAGTGATATTGCCAGTCCTACCCCTAGATTTCATTTTCTGAGCTTCCTCCTCTGTAAACTTTACGGGAATTACTCTCAGAACTACCAAATAAGCCCTTGAACTTTCGTAAAAAGTGAAAATAAGCCCTTTTATAGGAGGTTCTGTCCGGCCGTCGCCATTTGGGGCGGTTTCCGGTGGATTTTTTTGATGAAATTTTTGAGCATCTTCTTCATTACTTATAGTTTACTCATACCAAATTTCATCTAAAAATTCAATCGGGAAGGTAGTCAAATGAATTTTGGAAAATAACTGCGCAGTTAGACAGCGCAGTATATTTCAGAAAATCATTTGACTGCTTTATCGATTAAATTTTTAGTTGAAATTTGGTATGGGTAAACTAGACTTAATAAAGAAGATGCTCATAAAATTTCATCAAAAAATTCCACCAAAAATCACCCCAAATGGCAATAGCTAGATAAAGCCTCCTGTAAAAGAGCTTATTTACCCTCTTTATAAAAGTTCGATCGATAGTTGTCCATTAAAAAAATCAATTTAACTGTTTACCAATCACACTCTCAATAATAAACTCTCACTCCCGTTCTCCTATGTTCAGTCTATTGTTTAATGGAAAAGTGACAACACAACGATTTGGAATCAGTACTTCGAACATTTAACATATTCAAAATTCTAAAATAAGAACGTGTTTTCTTTTCAAAGTAAGACTTATTTAGATCTTGAGAAAATAACAATGTAACACACATCATTTACAATGTTTTTATGGGAAAATTCTCGAAATAGGACTAAAACAGTTTGAAAATTCCAAAATAGGACTGTCATGTTTTTTATTCCTAAAATATGACTAATTACAGGCATGTTTAAAAAATACTGCCAAAACATGGCAGTAATTAGTCACATTTTGGGAATAAATAAATGGTAGTCCTATTTTGGAATTTTCAAACTGTTTTAGTCCTATTTCGGGTAATATTCTCAAAGAGAAATTACCCAAAATAGGACTAAAAACGTTTATATTCCAAAATAGGACTATCATATTTTTATTCCCAAAATAAGACCAATTACTGCCATGTTTTGGCCGTACCAGTTTTTAAACATGATAGTATTTTTCAAACTTGACAGTAATTACTAATATTTTGGGAATAAAAAATGGCAGTCCTATTTTGGAATTTTCAAACTTTTTTACTCCTATTTCGGGAATTTTCACAAAAGTTTCCGAAATAGGACTAAAACAGTTTCAAAATTCCAAAATAGGACTGTCATGTTTTTTATTTCCAAAACAAGACTAATTACTGCCATGTTTAGAAAATATGACCATGTTAGAAGTCTGATACTGCCAAAACATGGCAGTAATTAGTCCTATTTTGGGAATAAAATCATGACAGTCCTATTTTGGAATTTTCAAATTGTTTTAGTCCTATTTCGGGTAATATCTAAAAGGTTTTTTTTATCAATAATCATTTGTAATTTTCGCAAATATTTCCCCAACAGAAAACTGAGAAATGTCATTCTTTTCATAACTGGATAAACCACCAAAAAGCATTATACAGTTGCTGTTAGAACTTAGAAAGTAACAAATGGCTCATAAAGCTGGAGAGAGTACACCTCCATATATATTACTGAGTGACTCAAGACAAAAAATTATTTTTGAAAAGGAAAAAACATAAGACAATGTTACCAAATCTAGAAGCCATGGTACCAGTGTAGTATTGATCTATCTATCTAAGTTCTACTCATCCACAGATGTTGCAATGGATACAAGTATAATACACAACAGAGATTAAATATTTTAATGTACAAATTAAAATCTGGGCTGTTGAAAATGTTCAGTTTCTTATCTTCTTTAATGGAGAAGCAACACCCATATCTTCTTCTCTCCTCCGCTTCGCCTCATCACTGACTAAACTGCATGGAAGATGCCTGTCTCCTTTGGTTACGAAAACTGGATTGGTCTCTGTAAGATCTGATAATGCATTATAGAAAAACTAGCCATTTAGATTCAGGAACTGAGATATTAAAGAAAAAGAGGAAGAGAAAGAGTGGATGCTAACCGGTATTAGACTCATTCATCCTTGTTCTCTTCAGGGGCGCACTGCTTCTATCCAACCCAAGCTTTCTTTTCAAACATAAGCTCTGCGGGACCCTTCTATCTACAAAATCAGATGATCCTAAAAAAGAAGAAGGGGGAGGATCAGGGTATTAGATGAAAAGCTTGATAAACTTTTTACCACTTCGCAATTGTGATGAATATGTTCAATAGATGAACCTGTTGAAGTATTTTTAATGAGAATTAGTTATAGACAAAAAGATCCTGGAAATTAAAATGTTAAAAATATTTTCATACACTCCTAATAAGTTGTTCTATACATAATATAATGTATGACCCGCAAAAATTGAAAATGTAAAACTGTTTCAGCTATGGCTTCTCGTTTACTTTTCACAGAAGTCTAAAGAATCAAGGAAAATATTTCACTTCAATAGAAGTGTTTTCAAACGTTACACGAAAATATCTTTTTTCCTGTAAACAAACCGATCCGATTTAAAATCTAGACGGACTATTTACGTGGTGTGTCATGCTTCATCCTTTTGATACTGATCCGATTGGTACATTCTTGATGTGTGATTGACCCCATAACACTTTGGATTTCATCTTCAACTGGAATATGAGCTCCTCCTACCATAAAGGGTAACATTCCCTTTCAGTACCAAGAACTTAGAAAATATAGTTAAACCCACAATATACAGAACTTATCATTGCCTAGTTCTCATTTCATCTATCTATATAGAAGTAGCTTTTGAATCACTCCTGATAATAAAGATCACTGTATTTTATGATTTGCATACTTGAAGGTCAATTCAGCTTAAAAGTAAAGGTCGACTTGACACAATTCAATTAATGCAGTCTAAAAGGGTCTCAATTCACCTCTTATCTTTTAATCAAAGATTCAACTTTCCATGAGGCTAATCTACTACTACTTCAACTAGCTAAGGTTATCTATACACCACTAATATGTCCCAACGCAAAGCCCCAGTACATTCAAATTTAGGGTTGGTGGTACTTCAATTGATACTCATCATGTGAATTGGAGAGCACTTCAGCCACTGCCTTACCAATTTACCATGGCTCTATTTTAAAATGTTTCTCATTATCTACAAGTTTATTTTGCCTTACTCCTAAGCGGTTCATATGAATTTGCTATATAAACAATAAAAATGACTGGCTTAGATTCACTAGAGTTAAGGCAAAATAAACTTGTAGATAATAAGAGATCTAAATTGTCTCGATTCTAGACTCACTAGACACACACAAAATAAGTCCATAGACATTTTTCTCTCATGTGCATAGAGCATTGGAGCTCTAAAAGTGTAGTTCATTTTGGCCCGATCGTCAACAAAATGTAATTTTTCTTAAAAGTTAAAATTAACTCTTCACGCAATTGAATTGGGAAAATCAAGTAAAGTAGTGAATGGAATGTGTATTTACTTTTGGAACCGAGTTTAGAGAGCTTGCCGTCGACAATAAGGGCGTCGGAGTCGGAAGTGCCGGTGGAGAAACCTCGAGTTGAGAAGAAGGAAATAAGAGATTTCCAGGTTACAGAGGATGCTATAAGATCGATCCCTCTGCTTACGAAGTGCCCATTTAGCTTCAACGTCGCTGGTTCGATCCCGAAGGTCCGGGCTATGAGCCCCAAATCGAGTCTCTGGTCTTCCAAAGCCACCACCGGAACTAACTTTGCAATAGAAGGGCAAAACAGCTTTATCGTTTTCTTCTTCTCTTCCGCCATCTCTCAACTTCAGACTCTCCCTGGCTTGCTCTCTTTCTATTGGCGACGCTTCTAGCTGCTCTGTTCTAACGGTTTCTAGAAGTGTCGAGTTTTGAATATGTAGTCCTAATGTAGTCAATTTGAAAAATAATACTCTAAAAAAAATAATACTCTCTTCGTCCTGAATTGAATTGCAAACTTTGACCGGCACAAGGATTAACAACTGACAATAAATGATGCTTGTTTTTTACACTTTTGCTCATCTTTTTAAAAGTAGATGCCTTTATGTTATTGGGGAAAAAGTAAAAGTAATGGTAAATTTGTCACTTTATTTTTATTTACATACCTAAAATAGAAAGTGGAAAATCATTTTGGGACAACAAAAAAGGAAAATTTTGCAAATCAAATTGGGACGGTGGGAGTATAATAAAAAATAGATAAATATATTAAAAACATTAAAATAAAAAATGAAAAACAGAAAACTGAAAAGTAAGTGAAAATGAAAAAAATATAAAATATAAAATGTAAAAACATTTCAAATAGATGTAGAATATACAAATAATTTCAAAAACTAATAATATTGACTGACATTCTTAAAATTTTCATAGGTTTCAATCTATATCTATTCAAATTTTAATTTTTTGTTGGAGTTTTTAATGTATAAAAACCTACTATTACATGTCAACAACTGAATCAATAGTCAAATTGATACATTTTTGAAAAAATGATACTTTTTTAGTACATGGACAGACATGATAAATTATAAACAATAAAAAAACTTATTTCACCTTTTTCTTTTGTTTAACGATCGATTTTGGAAAAAAAATATTGTGTACACCATTACTTTTTCGTCACTATACCTACACAAAAATAAGACTATACAAAACGTATATACCAAACACGATTCATCGATATTATAGTATTGGAATTTGACTAAAGGTGATTAGTACTGCATTTCACAAATAAATCAGTGTACCGTACATACAATATATTTACCTGATCCAAATTATTATCTCATCATTTATTATTATTATTATTTAAATTGTTCAATTGCGAAATTGTAATTGGTCCACATAAATACGATAGAATACCTTGAGTCATAAAATTTACCTTGTTTAAATCTACAAATCGATAGAAATTCTGAATTGACTAAATATAATGAATTAAAGTATAAATATATGTTTTATTAAAAAAAACAATTATATAATTTTTTTGAAAATATAATTATATATTTTATTAATAAAAGTATAATTATATTTTGTATAAATAAAAAATTTATATATTTTTTTAAAAATGAATATAATTATATGAAAAACAGTTTAAATATTCTTATTCACCAAATTCATTCAATTCGATAATGAAAGCAAGTTTGATATTATTTATTTTGATTATTATTGTAACTCAACGCGTGAAATTAAAAATTATGCATTTGATTATAAGTTGAATCATAAAGCTAATAAGTCGAAAACATTTTGATAAGATTTTTGTATTCCCTATTTTACTCTATAACATTTTTTGCCATTTCAATGTAAATGTTAGTGGAGAAGAAGCCCGATAGACTCATTTCATGTTTGATGATGATGTCATGCGACATCTATGCTACTTCCAAGCGGTACTCGGCGCACTTGGAGATGTGTAGCTGCCTTCCACCGGGGTGTGCCGGTGATAGATGAAGAAATGACAGACATTTTAGGAGGGGAGGCCCAAGAAGAAGCCCAATGCCAAGACGAAGAGCATCAAGAAGAAGAGGCTAGAGCACCCCATACTGGAGCGATCTATGATATGGATTACTTGACTGAACAATTTGGTCTAATCCATACGGAGCTAGCGGAGCACAAGCGGGATTTGAGAGAGTAACGTCATGCTATTCAAGGGATGGGAGGGCACCTTTGGAATAAAACTACTATTGTCAAGAGTTGGGACGACACTTCAACTTACCTCCACCGCCGTCATATGACCCTAACTTCTATTTCCCTCCCCGAGGAGATGGAAACGAAAATGAGGAATAGGTTATGTCAAAACGGGAATATTTTTTCTAATTTTGTTAAAACTCCATTGTTGCTACTCATGTGCTTATGTGTCTTATGTGTTATTTTTGCTTCTTGTTGTTGTTGTTGCTATGCCTTTTTTTTCAGTGGGGTAAATGTCGGGGAACATTTACCGAATTTTATTAACATAAAAAGAGATTACAATTCATAAAAGAAGCCCAAAAAGGACAAAGCATGAAGAAAAGTTACAAGAAGACCGAGGACTTATACCACATACGGTGTTGATGCAGCATCCAATTCAATCGCCCCTTTTAACTCGTGAGGAATTCTATCACCTGTTCTCCTCCTGAATAGTCCATGAATTCCTAAACGGGCCACAATTCCCGCTGCTTTGCTGATTTGGGCCGGAATTACCAAAAAGGAAATGCTCTGGAAACGGCCCACATAGCTTTGGCCCACTTCCTCCATTCTAGAAAAATCTCCCTCGACTTCCACATTAGGCAACCGAAGTGACTCCAACCACCTAAGAGCTCTGTCGAAAACTTCTTCGTCTTCCCCAGGTGACCTGCTTAAGGGAAAACCTTCCGCCTCAATCAATGCTCCCGCATGGTTTCTTAGCAGAAATCCTGCAGATGATTTGCCATTCCCCCTGAATATTGCCCAGCTTAACCTCATGACAGGCTCTACCAGTTTCACCCACCTGTACACTCGCGACCTCCTGCTGTTGAACGAAGACGGTAATAGTTTCATCTTCTTTAATCTATCTCCTCCTTTTAGATTCAAGTTAACAACACACCAGTTTAACATATGTTTCTTAATTTGCACAATAACTTGCATTTCCTCCTGCTCGGAACCGTTCCACACCGAGTCCCAGTAGGCCTTCTAGATCTGCCACGTGATAACCCCGGGTATGATAAGAGTGTATAAATTATCCAGATTCTTCCCTGATTTGGCTATCCATCATCTCATGATCTCCAATTTAATGTTTATCCCCCTTCTCCCTCTATGTTGTAATAAATCTGTAAAGTATCCCCAAATTGATTGGGAGAAAGAGCAGTTTAATAAAATATGGTCTTGACTTACCATTTCACATTTGCAGAATGGACATCTTGACGGGTAAACAACATAGAATTTGGCCAATTGTTCAGTAAAAGGCAGGCAACCATTCCATAATCTCCAGAGGAAGAATCCTAACCTTAGGAACTTGTTTCTGATTCCATATCTGTTCGTTTGAGAGAGTCCTCCCTACATTTGGCCACAGGGCCGAGTAGGCTGATTGTGATGTAAATTCTCCCCCTTTTTTTATGTTTCCATGTAATAGAATTAGGGCCGCTAATCACCATTTTTCAGCCTCCTCATGTATTTGGCTGATCCTTCTCCAAGTTGGAGAATCATAGGGTTTTACCTCTCCAAGACCTCGCCTGCTATATTTACATTGCATAAGGTCAGTCCAAATGGACTCACCTCTCTGATACTCCCACCACAATTTCATAGCTGCCACCTTCTGGATATCTGCCAATGACCTAATTCCCAACCCCCCATGTTCAGTAGGCTTGTAAAGTTTCTTAAACCGAGCCCAATGGTGTTTCGGTTTAGAATCTTTAAAACCCCAGAAGAAGTTGGCTAATTTTCTATTGAAGACCTTTATCATTGACATGGGAAGAGTAGTAGATGCAGTGACATGAATGGGAATCACTAGTGTAGAAAACACTTTCTATATGGGTTAAAAAACACTTTTTATGTCGGTTCCCGTAACGACATAGTAGCCAGCGATATAGAAAGTCGGACACTTTTCATGTCGGGTAGTCGTACCCCTTATAGAATGATTTTTATAACGGTTACGAATTTAACCGTTATAGAATGTTTTTCGTGTCAGTCCAATAATACCCCATATAAAATCCTTTTTATATGGGTTAAATCACCAACCGTTATAGAAAGTCGATTTATTTTAAAAAGAAAATAAATAATCTCATTTAGACATTTACTGTCACACACATATATATATATATATATATATATATATGTGTGTGTGTGTGTGTGTGTGTGTGTGTGTGATGCGCGTGCGTCATGCCCAATGGGGGAGTAAATTGGAAGCACAAATAATGCAAAATCAATGAGGGAAAGAAGCAACTGAAGCAAGAAAGAAAAATAAAAGGGTAATTCTAAATACAGCCTATTATTTACTAAATACAGCCCCAATTAAACTAAATGTCTATTATATCTCGAATAGATAAAACTGTGTGTGGAACTGTGGAAAAAACATATCAACAAGGCTGGAGTACGCATTTGTCACATTACTCATTTGACTTTCCTACAGTTCTTCCTGACCAGGCCATTTGAGCCACTAATTGGGCTAAGATTACTCATTTTCACCATAGCCTTTTCAAAATCCTAAGCAAAGATAGAGTCATAGAGGCGTAAGAGCTGTACTGGCGGACAATATAGTCGGCGCTTCCATTATTGAAGAGCTCTTGGTCTGAATGTAGAAGTCCCGTTCGGAGCTTCAACTTCTTAAAGTTGAAATGGGAACTCCGGCGAGTTTGGCTTCTAGATTGGTTTTGACTGTTTGCTCCATTGCCTCTATGCTCATCATCTGCAATTCACCTCGTTATGGGATCACCTCGCTAACCGCGGAGACATGGCCGACAAATCAAGACGGCAACCAGAGAGAACGATGACTCCACCCGACTTGAGGGGTGCGCCTGGCTTCCAGTTCCCTGGGCGACACAGGCCGGAAGTGTGCAGGCTGCCAAATCCTAGAAATTTATCCGGCCAACATGGAGTCCAGACCCTCGGCCAGGACTCCAAGAACGACGCCGGGCCAGTAGCGGATTGATGCAAGGAACAGAGTGATTCGAGCCAGCCGCTGGCAGACGGTGTCGAATGGCCCCAGACTGAAGTTTAATCCGGTGAAGCTTGGAAATGGACCTGCAATGCATCGTCAAACAAGATACTGATTGTGTCAACCGCAAGCACGCAAAGGAGTTCTAGCAGAAAGAACGAAGAAGTATAATAGGGATATAATAGACATATAATGTTATTAGGGCCTGTATTTAGTAAATAGCGGGCTGTATTTAG